TAGGTGCTTTAGACCACTGAGCCATCTCACCAGCCCACCAAAAGTATCTTAATATATATGCCAATTTGTTTCATTTATAATGCTAGTTTTTAGTTTATTTAAAAGAAAGCTTAGTGTTATTCTGTTTCTCTCTCTCTCTTTTTTTTCAGTACTAGTGATTGAACTCAGGACCTTGTGCTTGCCAGGCAAGCACTTATTGCACTGACCTATCTCCCCAGCTCTGTTTCTCTTTTGTAAGGGTGTTTTTTTTTTGTTTTTTTTTTTTGGTCTGTCTTGTAATCTGACTCTTATGGTTGATACAGAATGAATTAATTAAGAATTTTGTTAGGGAATTTTTATTTATTATAAAAATGGAAAGAAAAACCTTTCCTACTCAGGTTGTGGTTTTTAATTTTAAGGAGTTACTAGCTGGACTTTTCTGGGGCTGACTAGTGGGAACATAAGATAGGAAACTCTCAGACAGAGAGTGGTGGTGCACACCTGTAATCTCAGCACTCGGGAGGCTGAAACCAGGAGAATCATTATGAGTCCGATCTATGTAGTGAGACCCTGCAGACCCTTTCCTAAATACTGAAAAAAAAAAAAGAAACTCTCATCTTACTACTTTTTACTTTGTTACTTATGAATAAAGAGTAGACATTATATGCTATACTCAATGAAATTATTTTAAGTATATTTAGTTCATCGATTACAATGTCAGTACCCAAAGTTAACTGAGACAACTTGAATTCTGGGTAAATTCCCAAGACTTTTGTACCAAACCAAAGTGACAAGGACAGTGATCTCCTTGAAAACTGTTGTGTAAACTTTGCTGCAGCCCCCTGCACCCACTCCTAAAGGAGTGGTTTTTGATACCTTGTTCTGAAATCAGTGTTTGCTTTGCATTGACAGCATGGCCGGACTCCCCTGCACCTTGCTGCCAATAAGGGCCATCTTTCTGTGGTCCAGATCTTGCTGAAGGCCGGCTGTGACCTGGATGTCCAGGATGATGTGAGTAGAAGCCCTCGTTCTAGTTAGATAGGATCTTTTCAAGAAGGGTGGATGATAGATCTCATGGAATCCAAATAAACGAAGGCCTCTAGGAAGAGGTTACTGTGCTATTATTGAACCATGGTACCATCAACTCTGCTCTCAGACTGTCCACTTAAATTGTCTAGAGAGGACTTAGAGTGACTACTGTGGGATCATCTATTTCTGAGTTAATGAGTAGTGAGTGGGTGGGGTTGATACACTGTATTGCGTTGTTGGCCTTTGGAGAAAGTGAATTCTCTAACAAGGGATTGTCCTCTAAGAGTTATTAGGAAAAGAATCTGTGGTAATGTGATTGGAAATTATTTTCAGAAACAGAACTCTTAAAATGTGTGGTAAACTTCTAAGAAACATGAGGTTTTGTTAGCAACACAGAATCTTGGAGACTTTGCCTATTGTCTTCAAGATTCACTTTTAATGACAATGGCTAGAAAGTGTTAACTCAAATTTCAGACCCTCACCTGTACAAAGTATTGTACAGCTTTTTTTTTTAAATTTATTTATTTTTATTTATTACATTTATTTATTGTGTGTGTGTGTGTGGCCAGCTCAGCCCACCAGGGGGCGGGGCTGGCTGGCATGTGGCGCTGGGGGATCGAACTGCGGTCCCTGTGCTTTGCCAAGCTTGTTTCAAGTAGGTGCTTTAGACCACTGAGCCATCTCTCCAGCCCCAAAGTACAGCTTTATCAGAGTACCTCAAGCTTCCTTGGGTCTCTGTGTGCTGTCTTACAACTTGGCAAACAAGTAAAAAAGGATAGTGTTGGCAAAGACAATATGGCGTTGCTTTGTGCACAGGCAGAAGGCCCTCCGGTGCATCTCATAAATCTCTAAATGTGTCTGAAGCCTGTTAGGTCATCAAGGATGTTAGTTTCAAAAGATGTTGATTAGTTTTAAGCTTTTGATTTTACTTTACATTTTATTTTTCTACATTGTAGCCAACATAACAATCATGTCCCAAATCATGTCCTTAGATGTCAGGAGGGAAAGAGGGAGAGGAAAGAGGTGCTGACCAGAGAAGAGGAGCTATGACTCGCCAGCGCAAACGTGGGGGTCATCCAATCTTGTCCTTGAATGATCAGGGCCCTCAGTCCCCCTAGGGGCAAGGCTGCAATGCCCAGCAGGCCACCCCATTCCATCTACCAGTCCTGCCAGGCCTAGCGCTCTGAAGATCCACTGCTGTTGCTTCTATCCAAGGCAAGAAGTAAAGAAGGCAGAAATTGTCACAAAGTAGCCAGAAGGAAAGCCAGCTCTGCTTTTAGATAGGAACACCCTCCTTCCTTTATTAAAATTTTCTTGCATCTTTTCTGTGCCCTAGACAGAGAACACATACATTGCTTACATTAAAGGAAAACTAAGCACAACAATATCAAACAGTCTAAAAAAAGTGGATGTGGAAAAGGTAGGTTTGACCTTCACTACTTCTGGAGTTCTGCACCTGCTGTTACCTGATCCACGCTCTCTCCTGTGTCCTTATCATCATTATTGGTGGTCATCCTTGAAATATATTCAAGAATTCAAGGAAGAAATCTCTTTATATCCTTTGAAGAGGCTGGGAGATCAATTATTGGGGAAAAATACTTCACAAGTTACCCCTTTTGGACTGTGGGTAGAGAAAGCTAAGATTATGAAGAACTTACTCCTGACTTCCTATTCTACAGATACTGATCTTTATGGCATGGTAAGGATAGAGAATTAGTTGAAGAATGACCTCCAGTGGTCTGGAGTGGGATTATTATGAATTTCAACCTGTGGAAACCAGTTCTTTAGACTATGCAACTCCAGGTGCCAATTCTTTCTTGCCTCCCACCTATCCCGGCAATCTTCACTGGAACCCTGACGCCATCTCTGATTTGTCAGTGGGCAGCCACACGCCCCCCTCCTCAGAAATAGTCCAAGACCCTGTGGCCACAGTAAAAGGCATAAAGGAAGAAAAAAATAAGACAAGCCAGAGAAGAAAGGCTAGGAAGAGTCCTGGAAGATCAGATGGAGAAGCCGAGGTCAGCACCTGCTTTGCACACCTACTTGTCTTCACTTCCTTGCAGCCTGTGCCTTTGACCCCTGGGGGGACACCACCCTCCAACCCCACCCCTCTTGGGTTTCCCTCATGAGCTTGGCCTTGGAGTGAGAACCCACTGATTTCACCATGTACTGATTTCACCATATACAAGAGAAAAAGTATTTCAAAACAAGATGTGGACCTCAGAGGTTCCACAGCACGTAAGGGACAAATTCCGGTGTGTTGGGAAGGCTGAGAACTGGTGGTTCATGTTCCTTTGCAGATAGGTCAGCATATTCTGCGTCACAGTGCCATGCTGCAAGGCTGCTAGCTTTTCAAGTTTCTAACTGCAAGGGCTTTCTCCTTTGCTTTTTTACAGTTAATCATTTATAAATATTTCTTGGGACTGTATAGTGGTCAAGCTGTAACATAAACACCTAGCTGGCATCATGAGGCAGCCCCCACCTACTGCGACCGTCTTACTTGGCCTCATAGGTTGGCAGCAGCTTGGAGCAAATGAAAAAATCTTTCACAATTTGAATTCAGGACCAGTCATGATACCTCAAATGTACTAGTTATCCTAGACTAGGCTGACCAGTATAGTGAGGGAATTAGATGCCACGCTGCAATGTAGTAAGGAATCAGTAAACACTGAGTAACCACTGAGTAAATGCTATGTGAGACCTGTGTTTTCCCCAGCATTTTCTTTGAAGTTTCAGGATTTCACTATTGATATAGATTACATAGAAATACAGATTATGTCAAAATTGTTGTTTGGGTCCATTAGTATGTAGAGCTCATCTTCTCTGTCATGTTTTTTTTTTTTTTTGGCGGAACCGAGGATTGAACTCAGGCCCTTGGGCTTGCCAGGGAAGCGTTCATTCCACTGAGCCATCTCCCTGGCCCCTCTGTCATGTTTTGAGGAAATGTTTCAGCATACCATACATTTTTTAATATTAAATTTTAATACATAGGAGCCAAGTATGGATTCCATGGGTGAGTGACTTGTTTTCAACTGAGGGTCTAAGAGTGTTATGTTGTGCCGTGTTCTAGGGAGAGGTTCCACGGTGATAGCCTAAGGATCCTTTACTGTCTGTGGTCCATACTGGCTTCGAATTTGTGACTGTCCTTCCTTGACCTCTTGAGAGCTGGGCTTAAGGCGTATGTCAACACAGCTGGCCTTGTTTGTGTGTTTTGTCTCTGAGTATTTAGCTCCCATCCTGGTAACTTGAAGAACATTTGGCTTTTTAAAGCCAGAGGAAGTGTATTACTCAGTCCTCCAGAACCATTCCAGCCAGTATGACCACAGCTAATTGTCTAATCAAGGACAGCCACTTACAGGACAAAAGGGCTGTGTGTCACCTACACAACAGTGTTCATCTGACTGGGGAAGCAAGGAGCCAAGCTCTGTGCAAGTCTCTGTCCAGTAGGAGTAAGCAGGGGAGGGGAGGCTCTGGCCCCAGACAGGCAAGGAGTGCAGCTACAAGCTCCCACAGAGAAAGGGGCATGCACTAGACACCTGTGCCAGCCACCTGGGTACTACTTGTGTTCGGTAGTTGGAGCTCCATGAGTCTTGATAATCCTGGAAATTAACTCCTAAGAACTACACTGAAAGTTAGGTTTGGGGCTGGTGAGATAGCTTAGGCAAGCACAGGGACTGAGGTTTGATCCCCACACCACATGCTGTGCTGACCCCACCCCTGGGCATACTGAGCCAGCCACTGAGACCGAGCATGGTGGTGCACACCTATAATCCCAGTGCTGGGAGGCTAGAAACAGGAGGATCGCTGCAAGTCTGAGCTGTGTAGTGAGACCCTGTACCAAATACATTTAAAAAAGAAAGTTAGGTTTAGATACTTGCCTTGAGCTATAGTTTCATAAAGAAAAGTTGTCCTGCCGGAAACAAATACATCCAGTGACAATGAAACCGAGTAGTGAATAATGAGACTGGGACGGCTCAAAGCTTGCTTCTGCTCATGGTTTAGTGAGCAGCTCCGAAACAGGACGCAACATGTGACCTGACCCAAGGTGTGGGGCAGACCATGCCCTCCCTACTGCAGCCCTTCCTGTGGTGTCTGTACAGCACGCATGGCTGATGCCACCCAAGTAGTAAATCATACTTGAGGCCCATCTGGGGGGAATCTGTGACCATTCTGATAGCCCCATCACTCCGGAAGCCCCCTGAATTCTACAGATGAACCTTGAAAATAGATTTGGAGATGCGGACAGGCCCATTCCTGATACGTAATTAGTATTCTTCCTTGGATTAAAGTTGTATGTGTTAAATATAAAATATCGCAAGATATTGAAGTATAAGGAAGGAACTAAAAATCATTTCCCTTTGTGAATTTTTTTTTTTTTTTTTAAATGTATTTGGTACAGGGTCTACAGGCTGTTCAGGGCCTCATTATGTAGTTTGGGCTCCTAATGATTCTTCTGTTTTTAGCCTCCCAAGTGCTGGGATTACAGGCGTGCACTACCAAAATGCCCCGTCCCAATTGCTGTCTCAGCGAGCCCCGGGGATGGGGCTGGTATGGCATACCAGGGATTGAACCCCAGCCACTGTGCTCTGCCCAAGCAGGCACTTTAGTCCACTGAGCTATTTGGCAGGCCCCCTTTGTGAATTTTTAAAGAGAGAATTTTGATTTTAACAATGCACACATGAGTTTTAACTAGAATTGAATAGGGTTTTTATTGTGATACGTGTAACAACGTGTACCGTCATGACTCTTTAGACATACTGTTCAGTGGCAAAAGTACATTCTTATTTTTGTGCAACCATCACTACCATCCTCTATAGTTTCTTTTTGGTTAAATGCTTTTGATGTGCATTGTTGGTTAAAATCCACTGAAGATTAGTAAATTCAACTTGCATTTTATTAAGGCTATTTGGAGTTAGTTGTAGGGCCCTATTTATAAAAATCTGTTATCTGTTACAGTGGTCTCCCTTGAGCTAAGGATGAGGGGCATGCTGAAGCATGTCTTTTGTCTTTCCACATTCTGCCAGAAAAATTAACTTATATAAATCTTGCCAACCAAATCATAGAATCCAAAAACAAGAGAAGAACCTCTGGCATCCTCAGTTCTCCCTTCTGGAGTGAAGATCTGAGGCCCGCTGTAGTGGATTTCTAACTGATGGTCAACTTATTATACCCAGATGAATTAAACTAGCATAGTGTTGGATGTGGGAGGCCCACCTGAAGGTTGTTGCCAGCAGCATAAGAGGCAGAACAGGAGAAACTGCTGAGATGTGTTAGGGATGCTGTTTGGAGAAGCTGGTGGAGCTGCTGGAAGCTGCTAGTTCTCTTGGGCTGTTCTGCTGGAGGACCGTGTCATGCTGGCTTTCCCGATGAACTTTGGAGGACTCCGATCCTCATCTTGAGCATCGCTTCCTGGCTCCAGAGGGGAAGGTGGCGCACTGCTCAGTCTCATGGAGAAGCTTGTCACATTGGCTCTCCTGATAGGAACTCGGCTTTCCTCATTGCTGGAGGAGCTCAGGACCTCACTGTTGCTGAGCTTAGTTGTGGTACCTTTGGGGGAGTTTTGGCTCTTACTTTGAGCATTACTTTCTGGCTCCAGTTCACATCTCTCAGCCTGCTAGCACAGATCCTTATCCTGCTTTCTAGCTTCCACCACTGACCTTTAGGCCTTTCCAGCACAGATCTGTGAAGCAGGCCTGCATGAGACTTTGTCGTGGGCTCTAGGTCTCCAGGTGGACTTGTGGGAGGCATTGTTTATGAGCATTAGGATTTCAGCTGGACACACGCAGGATATTAGGAGCGAGATCCTCAGCTGGATTCTTTAGTGTTTGGTGTGTGGACAGATTTCCTGTACTTCTTGTATATGATTCTTTTTTTTTTTTCTTTTTGTGGAACCGAGGATTGAACTCAGGCCCTTGAACTTGCCAGGCAAGCGCTTATTCTATTGAGCCATCTCCCTGGCCCCTTGTATATGATTCTTGGGTGATTTCTTATAAAATATTATAAAATGTGCCCTGTATTATATTGTTTCCCTTGCAAAAGCCCCAAACCACCAAGGCCACAGGTGTCTCCTAAGTCTGCCCATGACCCAGCGCTCCTGATCCCCTTGCTGGGTGCTCATTCCTTTCCACCAGGAACTTTCCACACTGCTGACCCCTCTCTTCTTTCAAATGTGGACTATGGGTTTGACTTGATTTGCCCCAACTTGATTTCCTGAGTACATGGCAGACATAAACGTGCTCATAGAGACTTGGAACTCTCTTGTTACAGTCTTGACCTTCTTACCTCTGGGAGTGTTTTGTCCTTCTCTCCACTGCAATTAGGGGAAAGAGTCAAGTTCCCTTTGGCGCCCGAAGGAGAAAACTGGTTGGCAACCCCAGGAATCTGATTGCAGGGAAAGGAAGTCCAAATGCAGCATAAACCTAGCTATGCTAGGTTACACTCCCTGCAGTCCTCAGATGAAGCAGGGAAAACCCCTGTATTGCTCTTGGCTAGTGCAAATCAGTGAACAAATTATACCCCTGTCATCAAAGCTTGAGTGCTGCTAACAGAGTGGCTGGGAAGTAATTCTTGTGTAGCTGGGACCCAGACCTCGGGGTAAAGAATGTAGGCATCACTGGTTTAACTACATAGCACACACAGCCCAGCTCCCAGAGCCACTCTCTAGACATGTGGCAGTCACGTCTCTGGGAGGACAGGACAGGCTCTGATCTTCCTTTCGAGGTTGATCTCTGTTCCTGCTAGTGATTTCAGGTCCCTGTGAATTGCACTGCTTTGCCAGCATGTACTGTCTACTAACAAGGCCACAAAGGCCATCTTGCCCGAGGTGACCAAGATCTTCTGCAGATGTCCAGTCTGTTCTGCGTGGGGATGGGAGATGTCCTGGTGTCCAAGTTGAGGAGTGAGTGTGTGAGGCTAGGCTGGGCTGGGAGAGGTGACTGCTGTCCTTGCCTCTGTCACTTTGCAGGGGGACCAGACTGCCTTGCACCGGGCCACGGTGGTGGGCAACACGGAGATCATTGCCGCACTCATTCAGGAGGGATGCGCCCTGGACCGACAAGACAAGGTGAAGTGGGGGTCAGCTACTTACTCCCCAGGGGAGGGCGGCGATCAGCTCCTAAGGGATCTGCTTTGGTCACCCCCGAGTAATCAAGATATTCCTGCTTATCATTCATGATTTCACAAGATGAAGTCAACCCAAATTTCCTTTGAAAGAATATCTGGTATCCCAGCCAGTTGTATTTATTTTAAAACCTGTCCCTTTGCTGTGTGGCACCAGTAACCACCACATAAATCCAAATGGTAAAAGGGAACAAATCTAGATATCAGCTGTGGGGACCTGGAGGAGGTGGCAGGAGGATGTACCTTCAGATTCTTTGAGAATTCCCAATAACCTATTATATGTTGATCCAGTGTTTTTAAATTGTCAAACAATTTTAAAACATGCACCTTGCCTGAGTGCAATCCCCTTCCCCTGCCAACAACTTTTATTTAATGTGTAACACATGCAGAAAAACACACAAGCACTAATTGTGCAGCTCCAAGAGCTTCACCTCCTGGACACCAGTGTGGGCACCGAATCGAGACCTAGGCCATGCCTGGTGTGGTTCATGCCAGTCCTCCCCTTTCCTTTCACCTTGGCAACAGGGCATACATCACCAGAACCAATCTTAGCTGCCTACTCCCTGGTCTCTTGGACCTTAGACACCTTTTTGTGGCTGTCAGCGAGACTGGGCCTTGCCTCTTCATGCGTATTTCTAGATATCTCTAGGGGCATAGATGTGGTTGAGTAAAAGTCTCTGCAAGAGCCCTGGTATAGTAGAGGTCAGTGCACTTTGCAGAGTGCCGTGCACCCCGGCCAGGTGCAGCCTGGGGGCTCTACCTCCTCTCCATGTTCCTGCACCCTGGTGAGCACCTCATTCCTGGCTCTACCTCACTCAGTTCACTGCATTTAATGTTTCTCTTTTCTCAGTAGTAAAGCAAATACAAACTATGTTTACCAACTAGCTTTTATTTAAAGGCATTGTCTACTACATATTTAGAATACCTATTCATCAAATTTACAAATCACTTTTTCCTTGGTACCTACTATTTTTAGGGTGTTAAGAATAAGCTAAGTGACTTTTTGGTTAAAACAACAAAAACCAGCAGAAGGGAGTAGGAAGAGACCTGTCTAGGAGCGCCCTGGAACTTAGGAAGTGGAGCTCTTCCCATCTTTGCAGGGCTTGTCCTTATGTCTGGAACAGAACAGACCCCAGCAGGCAGGGAGGTGGGAGGAATGGACAGTGTGCCCTCCTGAACGCATTGCTTGCTAGTAACAGGTGCTGTGGCTGGGCCTGGGGACATAAAGCTCCTAGGGACACTTAGGCCCTAATGCTTAAGACGTCTATCGAATGCCTGAACTCGTTTCTCTCCTGTGTTCTTGCGGTACTTCTTATATGCCATTTCTGGGAGAATGCAGGCACTGGCCACCCAAATCTTTTTCTGTGTTCTGGTTCAGATGATGAGCCCAAGCTAACGAAGGCCCTCTAGTGTTCAGGGAAAATCCAGGGCGATATGTGGAGGACCACCTGGGCAACTTCTTGAAAGAGGAGCAATTGTCTCCATCTTGGCTGAGCCTGAGCCTGTTTCCATGTATTGACATGTACAGAGCTGGCTAGGCATTTTCCGTATCCTTTCAACTGGCTTTGAGCAATGCATATTGGTCCAGCTGAGGTGCTGGTGGTAGTCTTTGAAGATGGCAGGCGTGTTTCTCTGACAGCCCCCCACCTGCTACTCTATAATGTGAGCCTGGTGGAGACAGGACGCAGACCCAATGCTCTGCGCTGTCAGCTGGGATCGAGCGTCGAGATAGAGCTCTGACTTCCTGGGGCTTGAATGATTACATATGAGAGCTGAAGCACCGACCCCACCCATTAGACACTGTCTCAGTTGTGTCATGCAGATGACTCTTCCTGCAGATCCTTCTCTCTGCCTATTGCAGAGGTGATTCAGGCCTCCCACCTGGTCCAGCTCACAGTACTCACCTACTTCCCACCATTCTCACAGTCGCCCATCTTCCCGCCGCTCTCTTTCTCACAGTGAATAAAATCTGGACTCGGTCCTGAGTAAAGGCCTCTGTGCTGGATAGCCATGATCGTGGCCAGACTCAGCACCTCCTTGGCGCCCCACCATTTTGGACATATTATTGTGTCTGTCTTTACAGCGTGGGTTGCACTGGAAGTAGATAATTAACTCTTTCCCATTCCAATAACTTTTCCATGGGGTTGCAAATATAAACTTTCTGGGCTGCGATGAGGACTAGGAAGGGCTCTCTGTAGTGATACATTGCTTATTAGAAGAACTCAGTCCTGATAATGCGCCTTCTCCCCCGTCTGTTTCTTAGGATGGGAACACCGCCCTGCATGAAGCCTCCTGGCATGGTTTCAGTCAGTCAGCCAAGCTGCTCGTTAAGGCAGGAGCCAATGTGCTTGCCAGAAACAAGGTGAGGCCTGGCAGGTACTAGAACCCGTCACTCACAGGCAAGGATGGCTGTGTCTTTCCTTGCCTGGAGGAGGCGTCTACTTAGCAAGCACAGCGACAGCTGCAAGGGTATAGAGCCCAGCGGGGTCAGTCCTGCCCAGAAGTTTCGTTTGCAGAGGAGGCAGAAGCAGCTGGTGCTCCAGGACAGGCGGAGCCTCGCCCAGCTGATGCTAGAACTGACCAGTTGCTGTGCTCATCACTGGAGTTGTGAGATACAGCAAGAGAGAGCCGATGAAAATGTATCAGCAAAGAGCTTTCACATGCTGAGTCCCTGTGCTAACAAGGGTCAGGGAAGTGGGTTCGCCAGGTGCTGCAGGGAAGGGAGTGCAGCGAGAACTTGGGCTGCTGGGAGGCAGTGCGGCAAACCCATGGGGCACCTGCGAGTGGTTCCGGTGGGCTGAGGGTAAAGCTGCGTGCCGGAATACTTGCCCAGTGTGTGCAAGGCCCTGTGCTGGATCCCTAATGTCAGGAAAGGAAGCAAAAAAGATTTTAGCTTTTTACCTAGTAACTTCCCTCCTAGGACCTTGTAAAAGAGCAACAAAATATGTTGGCAAAAATTTACCTTCAATGATGTTTATGAAAGCAGTAATTATAATTTTTTAAATGTGGAAAGAGTATAAAATTTTTATCTACTTATATAATGGAATCAGTTAATGTCACTAAAGTAATTGTTTTCAAAATCATGCTCTTTTGAAAGAACAAGATAAATGGGTACAAAGTTTTATATACTTCATGTTCCAGTGCTTCATATAAAGGTATAAACATTTGTATATACATTGAAAAGTTTAAGCTTAGAAGGGTATTACCAAAGTATTAGCATGGCATCTATGGGAATTGAGACTGACTTCCGTTTTTGTTTTTACTTTGTACCTTTTTGAAAGTTTCCAGAGTCAGTTGATTTTTTTTTTCTTACAAATTTGGTGAAGCTTATTTTCAAGGTTAAAAAAAGCATTATCAGGCCTGGGGAGATAGCTCAAGGGCATAAGCGTCTGCCTGGCAAGCTGGAAGTTCAGTCCCCAATATTGAGGGGGAGAAAAAGCATCATCAGTACTTTGAGATATCAGCAGTAGTGGTGAGAAGAGACCACAAAAGGGCTGTCTTTCCAGTCCTGAGATGGCCAGGCTGCATCTGCGGCAAGAATGCAGAGGCTTTGGGGTTGCCCACAGCGCACCTGTGCCCCTGCACAGGGTGGGGGCCTCACCTGGAAGTGAAGGAGTAGTGACTCCCATGTGCTGCAGTGGGCCTAGGTGGCAGCAGCGTGGAGACTCGAGGCAGATTAAGTACCTTCCCTAAAACCAGTACACGTACTGGCTATGCGAACAACTTCCTATCAAAGTGGGACCTGAGAGCCAGCATCTCTAGCCTAAAGCCTGTGTACCTATCTTCAAGGATACCTTCAACAGTGACATCAGGCAAAGTTCTCACGTGCACCAATATCAGTGTAGTGGCCTTACCTCCTGTAGGAAATAAAAAATAAGAGCTGATGATGTTTCAAAGAATATATCCTCCGTGGGGAACAAGAGAGTCTGCTTCAGTGGCTTCGACCTCCTTTGAAATCTCTTGGCTCTCCTGCTTTTCCAGTGGTTTCTTAGTGACAAGAAGCAAGCTGTCCTTGTCCTCAAGGAGACAGGGACACAATAAATGTTTCAGCCCTTTCCTTTTCATCTGTCTCCCATCTCCGGTCCCTTCTGCTGTAAGGTGTTCCTTGAATGTCTCCCATGCACCCCTCTTTCCATGCTCATCATGACACACCCCTAGATTGCCTCAGAAACACCTTGTGGTGTCGAGTAGCCCGAGTCGGGGACCTTCTCCGTTGTGCTCTTCCAGCGTAGCTCCCCAGCCTCCTGCTGCCCTCTGGCTGTCATGTCTGCTGTGCTGTCAGAGCAGGGCCTGCCATCTCTGGTTGCATACTCCTTTAGGACTAGCCTTTCTGGTCTCTGTGTGCGGGCCTCCAGGCTGGACCCCAACCTGTCCCCTGGAGGCCATCATCCCCTTTCCTGCAGCTCTCCTGGCACTGCACCCTGCTTTGTGCTGCAGTCCACTGGCCACATGCTTCTCATGGTTCCCTCGTGGGTCAAAAGCGTGAGGGAAAGCAGCAAAGCGTGGGTGGTAGGAGCCTGACTTGCTGCTTGGCAGGGTGATCGCTGCTCCTTTTTTTTTTTTCCAAGCAGGTACATGGTCTGGAACATAAATTGGTGTGTAGTCACATTTTTTCTTATTCTAACTGTTGAGAATTTGTGTGGTCCCAGTTCAGGATAAGTAAGCTTAAGCTGTGGGCCAGTGACTCTCACTGAGATGCATGGTTTGTGGCACAGTTCAGGCCATCAACTAGCCTTAGTTTAACTGGTCCACACATTACCTTCTACCTCAGGAAGGACATCAGCAAAATTGTGGAAAGCCACAAATTTTCTCTGTAGATAAAGTGGCAAAGGCTTTGGAAGTTCTGGTACAGTACCTACTGCCACTGCAGAAGAGGGGCTTCTACATGCTGCACCAGACAGTCCAAGGATTCTACAGAAATCCTTCTTACTCAACAAATAAAGCAGCCTCTGTCTAGGAAATGAGTACCCATTACTCAGAGTGGCAAAAATGTCTGCTATACATTCTACCATGAGTCACTTTTTTTTTTTTAAATATTAGGTTTTCAGATAGAATTTACATACATAAAGTTCATTTTTTAGGTGTGCACTATATTATTTGAGTTTTGATGCCACCCCAGAAAGTTCATTTGTACCCGTTTGTGGCAGTCCCCAAAGACCCATCCTAGCCTGTGGCAACTGCAGATCTGCCTCTTGGAAAGGCAGATGTAGATGGAATTGTGAAACATGCAGCCTCTGTGCCTGCCTGCCTGCCTGCCTGCCTGCCTGCCGCGCGCTCTCGCTCTCGCTCTCGCTCTCTCTCTCTCTCTCTCTCTCTCTCTCTCTCTCTCTCTCTCTTTCTTTCTTTCTTTCTTTCTCATACAGGAATTCACTATGCAGACTGGACTTGTAGTGATCTTCCTGTCTTAGCCTCCCGAGTGCTGGGACTACACGTGTGTGCCACCATGCCTGGTTCTGGGGCTGGCATGGTGCACCTGGGGTTCTGGGGCCAGCAGGGCATGCGGTACCAGGGAATGAACGTGCCAGGCAAGCGCTTCTGTCACAGAGCTATCTCCCCAGCCAGCTCAGTGTATTCTGTTGCTACATAGTACTCCACTGGAGAGGTACACAGGTTGCCATCCAAATCTGCAGTATTTACTTGCATTGAGCCAAATATTTTCCACATGATTGATATTTTGTTATTGACAAAGTAAACTTTGGTATATTTCTTTTTCTTT